AAATTTGTAATATGTGACACCCCGTCTCAGGACAGTGTTAAGTGTCTTTGTCTTGATGTGATTCTAGAATTAAAGTTATTAAAAAAACGTTTGCCTTATATCAGTCACAGCATTGCAGAGAGGCTTTGACTGGAGGTCAAAGAAGGTGGTTTAAAAAATGCTTGCTCTCAAATTGGCCAGTTCAAGAGTCAGCTAGAAACTGAAACTAATCGGGAAGTAATTCCTGTTTTATTAAACCACAATGTTTATAAGTTTTGGCAAGTTTGGCAAATCAGAATTTAACACGTTTTGAAGGCTTTATCAAACATTCCTCAGAAGGCATGCCTTGTTCAGATACAAAGGTGGTAGGCACTTTGTGAATGAGAATATTTTAAAGCACTTATGTGAAGTAAATATTAAAATTAATAAGCATTTTATTGTAATGTGTATGAGTGTAAATAATGTTAAAACACATACTGATCTGGTGTAGATAAGATCTGAAATGGATCATTTTAAGAGCAATACTCATTTTAAAACCATCATTGGTTAAGAAACAGATTACTCAAACATTTTATTTAAACTTCTTGTTCATTTAACATGAATGATTATTTAAGCTTATGAGTTGTAAAGTCCTGTAGGAGCTTCAAATAGGTTTGATTTTTATTTAAGGCGAGGAATCAGCAGTCTGACTTTTACGCAGAGACTGCAGGACCTTAGCAGGAGACCTTGACAATTTTGTTATGGTTTCTTGTATGCAAACAAGCACTGAGCAGAACTTTCTGGATTTGGAAGCCAGGTAGAAAGTGGGATTATATCTGCAAATGAAATGTTATCTTGTGTTCAATTAGCTGGTGCAAAATTGACCCTTTGGTGCATTACACACGCCAGTGTGCGGATCTATGATCCCTTTGTGTTGAAGGCCCTTGTGCGATCCAGGTGGTCAAGGGGTCGGTATGGACAAACTGCTGGAAGCGTGGACCTCTGGGTACCGGAACCCCTAGTTCAGCTTTGAGCACAACCTGTCTGCTCTGAGATACCTTCCAGGTGATGGTAGGAAGTTGGCATATTAATTTTGTATCTGATACCACTTGCAAGTGTTGCAGAGAGGCTTTGACCTTGAGGTCAAAAGAGAGGATGGTCCCAAGTGTTTGCTCACCTAGTCGGCCTAACTGAGTATGCTGGCTTCGAACTGACGAGCCCAGGAAGTGAGTTGGCCTATATTAGCTACTGTTTACAAATTTAGACAAACCAGAATTTGACAAGTTTAAAGGCATTACCAAAATACCTCAGGCAATCCTCCTTCCCTCAGATACTTAGAGAGGTTATTCTTAGTTTGAAGTAAAAGCTTAACCATTGTAATGTCCAGAAATGGCCAGTTTTAAATACAGTTTGACCCCTTTAATATCTGGTTGACATGGAGACAGAAGTCTACATGTGCTGCTTTAATCTGCCGGGTCCTGCTATTCCATCAGCTGGAGTTCAGAGCCTCTCTGCAGCTCTGAACACATGATAACGTATTGTCAACATCATGTCCCTTGCTCAAGGCCTCAAGCTCCCCTTATCGTTCTACATGACTCCTCATGCCTCTGAATAAAGTGAACACTCTCAGCTCGTAAGAGTTGCTTAATCAAAGAATGGACTCTTAAATATAATGTGAACATTTAAAACTTAAAAGTTAATTAATCATTAAAGGGGCATTATGGAAGTTTGACAGCCAAAAAATGTATAGAAATAATAAATTTCTTCTTAATACATTCTCCTGCAATGCCCTGGTCCTGTAGAATGAGCCCTGGCATTGTTACTGTGATCGCCTGTTTTTCTGTAAAATCACAGAAAAAGAGAGATGCTCGGGTCGAGCAGGCTGCTTCATGCGCGTTCACGCTCAGGCATAGCCCTCCGAACCGTTCTTTGAACGTTGTTTCAGCTGTCATCAAGGATATAAATGTTACAGATACAAAATATGTCACTGGTACTTTAGCTCACCTCGTAAGATGTTGGTCTTTCATGTAGAAGACCTGGGTTCAATTCTGGATGTGAACATAGTTTATTTAGAGTTTCTTTAGTGATATATTTTTTTTACAGTAAGATGCCCAAATTTTTATTTGAGACTCGCCGAACGGCATTGAATTCACAGATAAAAAAGATGTGGGTTCAACTTTCATTTTGGAACAATTTTTCAAGCAAGGGAAGGGAATGATCTGAGCATGCAGGAGGACTGACCCATCATAAACCTTTGTCGGCTGTGCTGAAGAGAAAGGTACAGAACCACAATGTTTAATTAGCTGCGCGTTCTCCTGTCCTCCTCCCTCCCCGCCTTTCCAGCTCGAGACAAGAATGAAGACAAAGGACTCTCTTTAATAAATCTAAGAACTCTATTTTTTAATAAGCTAATCAAACAAAGTGTTAGTCAATAATAAGATGTGAACCAATTTGTGAAATGAAATTACTTGATATTATAATCCTACAGAATATAATAGGTAATATAACTTTAAATGTTTCCACTAGAGACTGATTACACGAAGGGTTAAGACATCACACATTGCTTTTACTGATCCAATCAGAATCTGCCAGATCTGACAGAGGCGTGGTTTTGGTGGCGTTTGGTAAATCTGTCATCTTTTCATTCGACCATAAACCAAAACATCAGAAGTATTAAACTATGCCCACGTCATCTCTAACGCCAGTTCAAAGCGTTCTAGAGAAGTTGTCGGAGTAGCCAATCCGTAACTTTCCTCTTCAACCGAAAGAACCAACGACAAGCTGGATAAAATCTGTTGCTGTTCCACCTGCTGCAACGGTTCCTTTCAGAATAAAAGCTGAATCATCACAACCCCATTTTGGGTCTTGTTAGATGCCGATAAACTGTCGTAACCCGGACTGGACTGGTCGGCTGCAGCGGCTGTTCTACAAGCGTCGGCTCCAGAAAGGTCCAAGCTGGACCTCTACACCTCCTGATCTAGACGGGGACTTCCACCAAGGGTACGTAGGGTGACAGAATGGTGTCTTATGTGTTTATGAATCTCCGAGTCAAAGCTTAGCACGAAGACATCACCTTAACTCCCACCAGAACTAAGTTTCTTTGGATTTGCTAGATCTGAACAACATTCCACACTACACCATTCTCCGTCTCACTCACCTTAGTTACACCATACATTTAGTGTTAAAGTTAGTCTAGTTTACTTTGTTTAGTAATAAATCTTTAAACTTTTAAAACTTGACTCTCTTCTGTTGTCTCTGAGTTAATACGAGGTTGTTACATAACCCTAACCCATAATCCCTGCAATAAAATCTTCCAATCTTCTGGTTAAACAGTACCCAAAGATCCATAAGGTGGATTTCATATTTACTATGGAATCTCATGTCTTATGGTTCATTAAATAATATGTAAATTAAACCCTTTACACCGTATTATAGGTTTGTTTATTTTTGTTTGTTTCTGCACCTTTTCGGTACTCAGTTTACTACATCAACATCTTTCAGTTGATCTCCATTCACATAATCTCCACACACATAGTACATCGCTGCGGTTTGCTATAGTCTGGTCCGCTTCTTCTCATGGCCCAGGCTTACTTCTCATCGTGGTCCCTGCCTGCGGATGTCACTATGTGGAATTACAATATGCTGTGTGGGATATATATCGACTGCTATGCTGTGTGAGGGTTTGAATTTCGCCATTCCTGCTGCTTGCGGTGCCTTGGAACCAATTCTGTCTTCCACTGCTGACTTCTCAGGGCCTCTAAGGTTGTCCAACACCTCATGGTCCTCTGTCCGTGACCCATGCCCTTGGAAGGGGGGATATGTAGCATACAAAATGGCCAAACAATTTAATAATTTCAACTGATCTTTAATGTTGTTTCAAAGGGTTTGGCTTGTATTAAACAACACCAAATGGCCAGGGGCACACATAATATATTTTTTACTTTTTTTAAAATATTTAATAATTCTTAATATTGATTAAGAATATTTAATATTTTTTTTAAATATACTGTTTTTCCATCTCGTCGAGTCATATGGGACAGTATATCAATTTGCAGGACCTGTGAAAAGTAATGAAAACACAAGAGTGTCCTGCACAAAGCAGGAATCTTGGTCCCGTAACTGCAACATAGCAGCCAGCTCAGGAAGGCACAGAGCTCTCAGAGTCGAGTCTGGGAAAGGTGAGCAGGATCAAACAATTTATGAGGTAGGGTAGAATTGCTTATTTTTTTTTACAATACAACATTTTAACCTATTTTATGGTGTTTATGTTTTACTAGTGTGTTAAAAAAAACAGCAAATGGTAAATAAATAGAAAATTTCATAAATCTCAAGCTTTAGGGGTGCTGGTGCTCATTTTAGGGGTGCTTCAACACCCCTAAAACAGGCTAGAATTGCTACATTTGACCCCACCCCAAGCGGTCTTTAATCAATAACAAGGAAAATGTTGATTTACATTCTACTGCCTCTAAATGGGCACTAGGCAGTCTTTCCTAAGTGTCTAGAGGGGTGATTTGTCACTAAATTAAACAAATCTGCTGTGTTCATGACTTAACAGATGCAGGAAATGTGCTTGAAGTAGACTGCAGCACCAGGTATGTCAGTTGGGAAGTCCCAACAGAGCGGCCCACCAGTCTGAAGTTGCAAGAAGAAAATTCTGGCCACATGGGGTGATAGGGGCTGGGTGGTCTGGGTGGTCTTTCATTAACCATGTTAAGGGGCATTTTAGTACATATTGGCTCAAGAAAATTATAAAAATATGAATAAGTTGCAAAGTATCCCTTTATGGTTAAGGTTAACCCTGACCTTGTACAGAGGAGAATTACCTTCATTCTTCTGTGAAAGTTTATTCCCACCAAGAGATCAGTCACATGTGTTGATAGCAGCATTCATTTTTTTTGTATCAACACAAACAAGCAATCAAAGGCATGTCTGAAATAAGCTGAGCCAATCAGGGCACAGCATTTATCAGCAAGCTAAAAGATATGTGATCTTTGTGCAATCAAAGAGCGGCTGTACTGTTTTATCACTCTGGAAGGTTCTACCTGAATTTGCACCTCGATTGGCTTTGGTGGACACAGTAATGACAGGAGAGCCAATCAGAGAAGAGGTGGGAGTGGCCCTGGAAGCTGAGGACCAATCAAAATGGAAATAGAACATTTATGACAATGAACACCACAATAGACTCTTACAAATCTATGTAGGGTACGACTACTGGCACAGCTTCTAAAAAAGACTGTACAAATCTAGATTCAGGAAGGAAGAATGAAAACTCTCGGAACTAAAAAGCGGAGGGACAAAAAAACGGAAAGATCAAAACTGAAAACAGATGGAAAATGATCAAAAACAGAAGGATTAGAACTATGTCTGTTTAGGCAAGGATTTTTAAGAATACAAGTCTTCCTGTGAAGAGTACCTCCATCAAGGCTGCGACTGAGCAGGTTTTTCTTGCTGATGCATCGTGGAAAGTTGGGTGCAGGTCTGGAGATCTGTGCACTGGCTCTGCGGCTCTGAATCAGAGTTCGCCCACTGTAGCGAAACTTGGAACCCAAGGACAGAAACTTCTTTGGTGGTTCTTCTGGAGAAGCCAGCCTGTGAGAGATTAGGCAATCAGATGTCTGTTTGTTAGATGGTTTGACATGTTGGACACATCTCTGGACAAGAACTGACCTGAAGAAGGAGTGATGCTCAACACAGACCTTCCATAGCCGCTTCGCTGCTCGGTGGTTCAGCAGCTTAAAGCCAATGATGGACTCAAACTGATCAAACTGGAGAAAGAGAGGTGTTTAGAAATGAAACCATTAAGATGTGATGGAGTATTTTTATTGATCTTCTGAACACCCAAACTTCCAAAGTACTTTCATTTGTTTTAGCTGAGAGATCCAACTTTCTGGGCTGGTTTAAAAACTGAATTTACCAACTAGTCATGTTTGAGAATTTATGATCATTTTTGGATATTTGGTCATTTCCAACAGCAGTACTCAGCGTGACTCAGGTTTGGTTAACTTTGACAGCCTTTGCATGGCTCAGTATTTGCCCCCCAACTTTTCAGTACCTGCTTCACTGTGGTTCATAGCATACTGAGCCAGTCTGGAAACACAATGTCAGCAATTGTAAGTCATTCATTGGCTAGAGGGCGGAGTCACTAGTTGCTCAATAGCTTTCTGCCTGCTGCCTCTCTGCCAGCAGTCCTTTTCTGATTCAGAGACTGACAAGGAGCCAGAGACTGAATTTTGAACATCACTGCCATTGTTGTGTTGTGTTGTGATCACCTTGCACCATTTACCGATCACCTTGAGATATTTTTTTTCTAATTAATATTGTGAGCGCTTCCTCAGCAGAGGATGTGCTTCCTGAGGCAGCTGAAGAAATTTAACCCTATCAGTGCAGTTGAGGCGGTTCTACACCGCAGTCATCAAGTTCATCCTCACCTCTTCAATTACCGTGTGGTACCCTGGAGCTACCACCAGGGACAAGAAGATGCTGCAGAGTGTTGTACGCTCTGCTGAGGTCATTGGCTGCAAACTCCCCTCCATTCAGGACCTGTACACCTCCAGGAGGTGTGCAGGTTAACTAACACCTGACCCAAGTAACCTTGGACAGTCTCTTCAACTTGCTCCCATCTGGCAGGAGGTTCAAATCCATTCGGACCAGAACCTCTCGCCACAAAAAAGCCTTTGTTTACCTTCTGCTAACAAGTTTCTGTTCCTCTGAGAAGAGACAAAGTCTGAGACATAGCCACATGTCCCTGTATTGTCCTCAGCTCTGAGGACAGAGAGAGTATATCAGGTGATCATCAAATCAAATCAACTTTATTTATATAGCACTTTTCATACAAAAAATGCAACTCAAAGTGCTTTACAGATTAAAATGGCCCCATAGATCCCACATTCCCATCCCAGCCCCCCTCCCCACGTATAAAACAATTAAAAATTACAGTTCCCCTCCCGCACCCAACTTCCAAAAGTTGACATACAATCACCCGCACACTCGTCCATGCACACACACACACGCACACACCCACACGCACACACACTCGTGAACACCAGAGTAAACAATAGGCTGAGTTCAGATGGGTCAGGTAATGAACGACACATAATCAGCGGAGCCATCTGCCCTGGCAGCAACAGATCCACGGCAGCAGCCAAGACACCGGCCCATGACGCCCAGTGGCGTAGGACAGAAACCCCCACCAGTGCCCGGGCACTACCCGGGGAGCGCCCCGGCCGCCGCCGCCCCTGACCACCGACCCCAAGGCAGAGGGCTCCGCAGAGGAACCACTGGAGGATTTAAGATATATAACATATAAAATAATAAAAGCTAATAATGATAAAAAGTAACTGATAAAAAGTGATTATAAAGATAGTAAAAGAAAACATAATCATATAAAAACACTAAGATGTAGATAAAATGATAAAAATAAAAGAGATAAATATGTACTTATAGATAAATAGTGATCAGTTAAAAGCTAAGCTGAAAAGGTGGGTCTTGAGCCTATTCTTAAAAGCCTGGATGTTCCCTTCGGACCTGAGGTCCTCCGGCAGCCCGTTCCAAAGGCGAGGGCCGTAATACTTGAAGGACGCCTCGCCGTGGGTGTGAGTCTTAACTTTAGGAATAACTAGGAGACGGCTGCCAGAGGAGCGCAGAGACCGCGAGGGTTTATACAGTAAAAGCAGTTCTGAAAGATAAGAAGGCCCAAGACCATTAAGACACTTAAAAACCATTAAAAGAACCTTAAAATGATCCTGAAACACACGGGGAGCCAGTGCAGTGATCTTAAAACCGGAGTGATGTGCTCCCGCTTCCTGGTCTTCATCAGGACACGTGCTGCTGAGTTTTGTAAGAGTTGTAAACCTGAGATGATCTTTTTGGGAAGACCAGAACGCAGGGCATTGCAGTAGTCTATCCTACTGGTTATAAAAGCATGCATCAGCATCTCCGCATTGGCCCGAGAGAGAATGGGTCGGACTCTGGCGATATTCTTAAGATGGTAAAAACCTATTTTTGTGATGTTTTTAAATGTGGGGGATAAACGTCAGCTCAGAGTCGAAAATAACACCCAGGTTCTTCACTTGTAGTGATGGATAAAAAGACATTGACTGTAGTTTAGGTAAAAGTTTCTCTCTCTGGGCCTCAGGACCGATGACTAAAACTTCAGTTTTGCCCTGGTTGAGCTGGAGAGTTTTCAGTCATCCATGATTTAATATCTAAAATGCAATTAAAAAGTGTTTCCATTGGCTGTGCGTCATCAGGAGACACGGAGATGTACAACTGTGTATCATCAGCGTAACTGTGGAAATTCACCCCATGTCTCCTGATGACGCTGCCCAGAGGGAGCATATAGAGGTTAAAAAGCACTGGGCCTAGAATTGATCCCTGAGGCACCCCGCATGTGATGCTGTGGACCCCAGAGGAACAGGTATCCAGACTCACCATAAAAGTCCTGTCTGTGAGGTAGGAAGTGAACCAACTGTGAACAACACCAGAGAGGCCGATCTGTTTTAAACGGGATAAAGAATAGTGTGGTCTACTGTATCAAAGGCAGCACTTAGATCCAGCAGAACCAACACTGTTGCCCTCCGAGCATCATAATTTGTTCTAAATTCATTTAAAATCTTCAGAAGGGCCGTCTCAGTGCTGTGGTTCACCCTAAAACCAGACTGAAATTTCTCTAGGACATGTTGGTGGTTGATAAAATCGTTAAGTTGTATTAAAACAAGCTTCTCTAAAAATTTGCTTAAAAATAGTAAGTTGGATACCGGACGAAAATTGTTAAAGTCATTAAAATCTAAATTGCTCTTCTTCAACAGGGGTCTGACCACCGCCCGTTTAAAAGCAGCAGGAAAGACCCCCGTCTGAAAGGAACAGTTCATCAAAGTTAAAATCTCATCTCTAAAAGAGTCATAAAATTGTTTAAAAAACCTTGTGGGGATCGGGTCCAGAACACACGTGGTAGGCCTCACTGAGGAGAAAACTTTATCAATAGTCTCAACTTCAACCAAGACAAAACTGTCCAGTGTTTCCTCAGGTAGACACACACTCTCAGATTGATTGGGAGCAGCATGACATTGGGAGGAAAAAATGTTACGTCTGATGGTGTCTACCTTCCCTCTGAAGTGGGCTGCAAACTCCTCACAGAGAGAGTCCGAGGGGGGTTTCTGGAGAGAACTAAATTCACAACCCAAAATATTTGTGACAGTAGAAAACAGAATTTTGGGATTATTTTTGTGTTCCGAGATGATTTTAGAAAAGTAATTATTTCTGGAATTTCTAACAGCTTTGTTGTATGATTTTAATAATTCAGTGTATATTTGTTTATTAATTGTGTTCTCATATTTCCTCCATTTTCTCTCTGCCGCCCTGCAAGATCTTTTCAACATTTTTAAGTTTTCATTGCTCCAAGGGGAAGCCGGTTTTGGCTGTAGCTTTTTAATCTTAGGTGGAGCGAGCAGATCCAGAGTAGATTTAAGTCTGCTGTTAAAATCATTGAAGATAAAATCACAGGGGGCATTTGAATTAATAGGAGGGATCTTTTTAAAAGTTTCCAGAAAACCAGCAGCCACTTCAGGGGTTAGATGGCATTTCATTACAGTTCTCATGGGGGAGTTGGTCTGGGAGGTCTCCCACAGAAACATTTTAGTGAGCAGATATTTGCCACATTCTAGTGCTCTTAACATGTTATTTAATTATATTTAAATTATTGTTTTTAAATTAACTTAAAAATTAAAAACTAAATAAATTATGGATGACATTAGATAAACTAATAACATGTTTGGCCTGGTTTGTTATTTTGTTTGAACCCAAAGGAAACAAACCAGGCTCTGCTGCTGAAAACACTAAAACCATAAAGAATCCTAACTTCCAAAATGTTTATTTTCTATTTGTGATGATAACAACCCCAGCAGGAGGCTGGATTAGGGTTTAATGACAGCTACCTCCCCTTCGCTAACCAGCTAACTAACGCTTCATTTGGGGACAATTTGACTTTTATCATCTCCCTATATCCATTGTGTCTCTGAGAAGAAACAAGCAAACAAGAAGAAAACATCTAACTCAAGGTAGACTAAAGTTTTCTCCCAGTTTGAATTTAACATAAACCCAGGTCAGCCTGGTTCATGAAACAGAATAAAGTTCAGCAGGAATGTCTACAGGCTGACAGCTAAACTATATTAGAATTTCGGGGGCGTCTTACAAATCCTCTTGAATATTTCCCCCAGTGGATAATTTATAAAAATAAGCTTCGACAAACTAGAACTGCTTATTTTTCAGCACTAATTGAGAAGAATAAGCATAATCCTAAATTTCTTTTCAGTACAGTTGCTAAACTTACACAGAATCATAGCTCTGAGCCATCTATTCCCTTAGCCCTCAGCAGCAATGACTTCATGGGATTTTTTACAAGTAAAATTAATTCTATTAGAAACAAAATCTTTAGCATCCTCCCTAATGCGATTTCTTCTTCCTCAGTAAGTGAGGCAGCATCAGAGGTGACTGTAGAACCTCATCTGTGCTTGAACCGTTTTGATCCAGTTGAGCTTTCAGAGTTATCAAAAATATTAGCTTCATCTAAACCTTCAACTTGCATTTTGGATCCAATCCCAACCAAATTATTTAAAGATGCATTTCCTTTGGTTACTGCCCCCATTCTAGATATAATAAATCTATCCTTAGTAAATGGATATGTACCACAAGATTTTAAGGTTGCTGTAATCAAACCTTCACTTAAGAAGCCTTCTCTGGATCCAGATGACCCAATGAATTATAGACC